ACTCCCTCTAATGAAGCTGCAGGCAACCTTGGCACTCCAGCTGTTGAGGTTTTGCAAGGCTCCCGGGGGCAAATACATGCTTGAGGTTGCCTATCTCTGCCCTAGTGGCTATTGTTTATGCCTCTATATTTAATTTCATTATTGAAAAAAAGCAATAACAGTCAAAACAAAAAGACACTATTCTTTCATTTAAAATGTTAGTTAGGGCTCATTAGTTCTCATCCGTTGCCACACATTTTGCACAATATGACTTGAAGTGTATGTTCACCCAAAAGCTTTTTTTCATTTTTTATTTTGGATAGGAGTAGGAAAATGTTACTAGAAAGTTGGAAAATGAAGACTGATTGGTTAGCGCACTCCTAGGGGAGGGGGGTGTCGTGGCCGTTGTGCGGCTCCTTGTGTTATTAGACGGGGTGTCTAACTGTGAGATACTGAACGGAAAGAAAGGAAGGTGTTACAACTCACATCAGGTTCTCACTGCTATCTGCGGCTCTGTTAAAAAGTTTTAGTCTTACTTTTTGTCCTGCTGACATTTCCCCACACAGGAAGTAAGGAAAAATGTCCAACAGGGACATATATGGAAACAAAACCCTGACAGGGGTTTTAGCCTACCTGTTCTATTAGTGTATTAGTTTTAGTGTTTTACTTTTGTCTGTATTGCTGTTGGTAAGTTTCCAAACTTCCAGTCTAAGAAAACATCAGCAGGGCAAGAAGTAAAAAAACTCTCTAATGGAGCACTTGCGAGTGGAAAAACCTGAAAGAGGTCAAAAAAAGAAAAAAGGTTTCGGCTGGACATACACTTTAATCTCCTATTACTACTGGAGACAAGTTGTAATGGTAATTTATTCTCTTATTTCCTAGATGAAAGGTGCTAGCGGACTGTCTCTCCTGCTCCTAATGGTATGTGGATCCAGCTTTGGCCTACAGGAAAGTATGGAGGACCGTGAACCTTGGGAGAGAATTCAGTTGTGGAAGATACTGACTGATGGGGAGGAGAACATCCCAGCATCTCTCCTACGTCAAGCAAACCTAAGAGAGAAGAAATCGACCGACCCGGCATCACTGTTCAGCGTAGCCAAGGAACTCCAAGGTTTTGGGAAAGAAAGAGCAGGCTTTAGGTTTAGGTTTGGCAGGAGAGACGAGGGGAATGACGTTGAAGACTTTGAACCGCAAATTGACAAACGTGTAGGCACAGCCCTTGGATCACTGGCTGAAGAGCTGAACGGTTACAATAGAAAGAAAGGTGGCTTCAGTTTCCGATTTGGAAGGCGATAGATCAAAACATTCCATCAGTCTATGTGCCAATCTCTCTAATCATTTTATATCTCCTGTTCCCTGCGAGCGCTTAAGTTTTAAAAAAGCCACAGGCAAGGCTTCTTCCTTTAAGCTGTCAAAAGTGCTGTACAAATAAATTCCTGATTCTGTAGCACACTTCCATCCATTAGAGCAAACATTTGCAAAATCCATTTTCAAACAAGTCAATGAAATCTTCCTGCTTTACCAGAGAGAGAGTAATGAATCAATTATGCCTAAGACTTGTCCAAACTCAGTGTTCCTTTTATCGGCTGTGTATGGAAAAATATTAAAAGTTTAGAGAACTGAGGTTTTTTTTTTAACTTTTACTGTCATAATTAGTTCATAATTATTATCCCAACCGCTGAAGACACTTCAAAAACATGTCTGTTACAAAGCTTGTTAACTATTTTGCTCCTCAGTAATGTTTATGGTGACTCGGGGTTTAACAATGTATCATCAAACTGAGTTTTTATTTTGTACAACAAACTTATTAAACAAAAAAAAGAAAAAAAAAAACCTTGTGTACATTGTACCTTTAAATATATGGTAGTGTCTGTTACAGCAAATCAAAAATGTGTCAAGTTGTTTTAATTTATTTTCTCTAGTTTCTTGTTAGATGGATCCATAGTTACATAGTATTTCAAGTTGAAAAAAGACCAACCTATTGTGTGCATGTGTATGGTCCTACTAATGTGTGTGAATGTATATGTCCGCATGTGATCCATGAGCACCTTTACCTGCTGTCTAAAATGGCATCACTTGGTCCAGTCCTGGCACTTAGCGCTAAACAACACATTGGGCCAGATGAACTAAAATTGGTGGTTGTTGAGGAATGCGAACGCTTGAGACATCCGATTTGTGCGCACAGCCCTACTTAATTATCTCCAAGGCAGAAAGTAATTAGAAAAAAAAATGTTAGAGTTGTCACTAGAACAGGGGAGGACAAATGTTCCAATGGGGAAACCGGTTCTGGTGACAATTCACCTCGCTTTTTAGGGATTTCCTTTCACTTCATGTGCCTCCAGGGCAGGATGTGAAGAGAAAACTCTGCAATTTGAAACCGGAAGCAAAACATTAAATGGCAGCAGTTTTGACTTCTCTATTCTATCCAAAACTAAAACAAAAACAGTTTTGCCTATACATGCATGTTAAGTGCCTCTTCACACTTGTGCATGTGTTCACACACGTGGCACGCTGTTTTAAAGGAACCCCATCACCACAGGGCTACGTATAGAAAGACAGCCTGCTCTTTAAGGGCCGGTTCACACCATAAAGAGTGCTTTCCAGTGGGAGGGGGCGTGACCGTGCATTGAAGTCAATGGCAACGCAGCCATGCCCGCAGTGCGAGCAGCGGCACCCGAACGCATGGCACATTAGTGCCTGCGTTCTGGTCCACTGCGATTTGCCAAACTGCTGCATGTACTATTTTTGCAGATCACACTGGACCAGAACGCAGGCACTAATGTGCCATGCATTCGGATGCCGCTGATCGCACTGCAGACAGGGGGCGTGGCTGCGGTGCTATTGACTTCAATGCACAACCACGCCTCCTCCCGCCCCTGAAAGCAAGGAGCTGGCTGGGTTGCGTTCCAGTGGCTGAACGCTCTGGAACGCACTCTTTATGGAGTGAACCAGCCCTAAAAGAAGCATATCTATACTTACCTTTCTGGTGGTCCGTGTCTTGAAAGGCCACTGCTTCACTTGCTCCCTGTTCACTGCACAATTCTGGGTGTGTGAATACCTGCTCCTCCTGTCGCATGCAATGGCTCCTTTTACCAGCCTATACCTCACTACAGGATGTAAGAGCTGGCAGGTAGAATCAGTTGCATATGGCAGGGGGAGCAGGTAGATGAACCCCCCAGAAGGGTCATGTACTTGCAGCGACTAGAAAGCAGTGGGCTGCCGAAAAGTTAAGTATAGAGGGCTTCTATTTAAACAGATGTATAAGCCTGCACTAATGCAATATACAGTAAACTCTGTTTTCCAGTATTCAACTAACAGAAACTCTCATCTAACCGGTGATAAGAAAAAATCCACTGTGCACTCACTGATCTGCAACCTTCTAGGAGAGGGCTCTGCAGCATAGGAAGGTAGAGAAACAGGTGGAAAAGTGCTGTATTATCCTGGGAATGAGTGTCTGAACGATCTGTGAAAGGTGCTGTATTATCCTGGGAATGAGTGTCTGAACAATCTGTGAAAGGTGCTGTATTATCCTGGGAATGAGTGTCTGAACAATCTGTGAAAGGTGCTGTATTATCCTGGGAATGAGTGTCTGAACAATCCTCTATGAAAAGTGCTCTATTATCCTGTGAACAAGCACCACCTAGTGATCACTCCCAGTACTGCACTGCATTGGTCATAGACTACAATATATTGTAGATCTCCAGTCCCAATGTCAGGTAGTCACAATGCACACAGCATTGCAGCACCTGTATTAGTGCACCTGAATTACACCACTAATACCAAGTGTCTGTTTGTCTTAATTTGCTTTTGATTACTTTATTTTAACATTAACCCCTTCATGACTGGAGATGTACACTGTACGTCCCCAGCATGAAGTGCCCAAATGACTGACCACGTACACTGTATGTGATCAGCTATTTGAAGCTTTTAAAAGCTGGTAACAGCTGAGATCAGCGGTTACTGTTCATTAATGGATGCCTCACTATTGAGGCATCCATAAATAAATGAATTAAGCTTTAGTAAAAGCTTAATTCTTTCATCAAATGAAAGAATTGAGCTTTTACAGATACCTGGTCGCTGTAAGCAATCGAGTATCTGAGAGTGACAATAGAGCCGTGTGAATGGCTCTGCTGTATCACTGTTTTGACATCGCAATCTGTTAAATCGGGATCTGTTTTGACAGCTTTGTACAGATCCCGATGTGTACAATGATACAATGTTTCAAAAAACAAATGTCTCAAATCCTAGGGATGTGAGGTGTTTCCAAATAAAGGACAAATAAATGAATTTATTTTAATGCATTTTTTTAGCTGTACTATTTTTCTAAAAAACAATAATAAATCAAAACTGGGGCAAAAGCGTTTTCTTTTACGTTTTTTCCTCGTTTTATATTTTTTTCATCCTAAGTAAGGCATTGGGCACCCATATGTGATATAATTATATTGTCCTATCTGTCCTCTAAAAAAACAATATATAATATGTGTGGGTGCACTTAGTAAGAAAGCATATTACTGACGTGGAAGAATCACACAGCAAAAAAAATGTAAAAAGTGCTTGAGTAATTTATGAACAGAAACTAAAAACAAGCTCAGTCATGAAGGGGTTAATATGAGGTCAATACAGAGTTTTTTATGGTATGGTATAGTATGGGGTGGGGTATAGCATTAGTTAAAACTTTTTAAAAAGTAACTCTCAAGCAACCAGAAACTACATTTATTCGGAATCTACCAATCCCCGTGGATGCCGGATAACGGGGAGCTTACTGTAATATGAATAGCAGAATGCTTAAAACCGATATATATAACATCTCTGTGTACATTTTTCTGCGGCACTTTAACGCGCCATTTGATGCAAACGTAAAACCTCTATGTTATTAGTACACGGCAGCTTGTGCAGTGTAATGCCGCAGCGTGTGAAGTATACTAATATTGCAGCTTGTGCAGTATACTAATACCACCTAAGGAATAAAGGGCCCCCGTGCAGGATTTTTTCTCGCCCCCCCAAAACCACTAAAGGATGAATAAAGGTGAAAAAAGTATTTTAATTTTTTTTTAAAAGCCAGTTGCTGATTATACACAGAGCTTTAGCCAAATAATTGTCATTCAGATGAGGTTTAGTTCTACTTCTGATTGATCTCATACTTCTATGGAATACTGTGCCATAAAAGAGAGTACTTATACTCGTTAGTATTGTATCTGGCTTTAAATCTGACCTCTCTCCCTGTGCTGGTGGATGCAGTTCTAACAAGCTTTCCAAGGGCTATATGGCCAAGCAGGCTCACCTTTTCACAGGTCCCGGGGATGAGAACCGGGACCTCTCTGCTCATCCCATCAGTGGCGTAGCGTGGGTTGTGAGAGCACAGGGCAAGGCAAGTATTGTGTCCCCCTACCCCATGGACCGTTAGCACTCCCTGAGTATAGGTGCATCCCTATCTGTACCCCAATAGAGGACTACAAAGCCCAGCAACATATCATACAGCAATGGAAAATGGCAACCGCCTAGAAAGGGACAACAAATCTCAGCAGTACATTATACAGCAATGCAGAATACCACCAGCTATGGAGGACTACAAATTCCAACAATACATTATACAGCAATGCAGTATAATACCATCAGCTAGGGAGAACTCAAAATCCCAGCGATACATTATACACCAATTCTGAATGGCACCTGGCTATAGAGGACTACAAATCCCAGAAATGCAGAATATAAAGCTACATACCATGTGCTGCTTCGGGGTGCCGGCCTGATGTCTCCAGCGAAGGATCGCAGGTGGCTGTGTGGGGTCTTAGGATGGCTGTTCAGATTCTATGGTGGGCTGTGCGGACCCTCAGGTGGGCTGTGCGGACCCTCAGGTGGGCTGTGCAGGGTTTATGGTGGGCTGTGCAGACTCTCAGGTGGCTGTGCCGGTTCTTCGGAGGGCTGTGCATACTCTCAGGTGGTTGTGTGGGGTTAAAGGTGACTGTGTGGCTTTTAGGTGGTCTGTGCAGGGTTAATGGTGGCTGTGCGGCTTTTTAGGTGGTCTGTGCAGTTCTCAGATGGCTCTGCGGGGTTAGAGGTGGCTGTGCAGTTCTCAGATTGCTCTGCGGGGTTAGAGGTGGCTGTGTGGCTCTCAGGGGGTCTGTGCGGGGTTAGAGGTGGCTGTGCGATTCTCAGGTGGCCGTGCGGGGTTAAATGGTGGTCTTCGCGTGCAACAGAAAGTGCAATATTCTGTTCAGTCTTCAAACCCATTGCTGGAATCAGTAGAAGACAACTGTAATCATTTAAATCAGGTAAATAAATTATAATAGGGAGTATTACAGTGTAATGTTTCCTATTATAATCCATTTCTCTAAAACATCCCCCCCCCTCCCCCCACGCTACTTAATCCTCATTTTGACT